CAAATGAAGATCTGCTTTGGAAGAAAAGGATCACAGGAGCATGTAGCAAGGCTGCTAATTAACAGAGAAACCATTTTTGGATGGAGATCACACATTCGTTAAATAGAATACCTCAATTTGTTTGTTTTGGAGAGAAATAATACTTTTCAGTTTATTTATTTACCTAATTATCTAAAAGCAAATATCAAAGGCTGGTGCCTATATTTGGGGCAAAGGGTCAGTATAATGTTTTTCAATGTTTTTTTAATCAGCTATTTTGTATTTAAAGTGAAAACTGTAAATGTTTAAAATAAATAATTTCTTTTTTAAAAAAGGCTGCTCTGAGTCTATGGGAACATTAAAACTGTATTAACATATATCTCACTGGCCAGAAAACAAACTGTTAATTGATTTCTCTAGAGTTGTATAGTCTTTGACTCCATTATGGAAACATCATTCAATTTTGTAGGAATGATGAAGCAACATGGCAGAACACAACTGGAAGTTTCCAGGTAAACAAACTCAGGAAGGTAAAAAAAAGATTTTGTAGATTGTTTTTTAATTTTGAAAAGTAGTATTTCTCTTATATTCACAGTACCAACCTAGAATAAGACTCTGAAGTAGCATTTTCACTCTCTCCCCATGTTTAGTGAGGCTCCTCAGTACCTATTATTTCTCGATCCTGGCTGTACTGTCTTTCCTGGGGCATGTAGGTCAAGCTTCCCATCTTTCAATCTCAGGATAGAGAAGTGCACAAAATTATCTCCAGATATAAAGAACAAACAAACCTGGATGCCTGAGCACATTTGTTTCACAGCACAGGGGAGCAGCTCTGCTAACCTGTTAAGCTGAAGCTTGAATCCCATGATCTGACATCACCTGGAGCAAGACGACCTCATCCCAGCTTCATCAGATCCTATAGTCACTAATGCCCCAGAGACAAATTTCAACCAAGTTTCATCTGCAGTGAGGACACAGCATAAACTGGGTTCCATTTCTGCCAAAACCATGGTAGAACCATTCTCCTACTTTTATCCTGGCATTTTTAAAAGTGTGTTTAGTAAACAATCAACTCCCCATATGTCTACATATAATATTTGTCTTCATAAACCCTATAAAATTTTTTCTCAAAAAGGTTCTATTTTAGCTAAGGATATATCAGAGATTTTGTATTCCACAGCAGTCTTCCCTAATTTTTTGTGCCACAATCTTCCCTTAGATTAATGTTTACTTGGCTTAGTAAAACTGATGTAATATTATTTTTAACCAATCTGCTATTCATGGACATTTAGGTCATTTCTTATCTTTCATTTTATTTTTTCAGATTTCTTTTTTATTCTTGTATTATTATTTATTGATTATTGCATTATTTTCTTTCTTTTTTTAAAGTGTGTTTTATTGATTATGCTTTTACAGTTGGCCCAATTTTTTTCCCTTTGCTGCCCTCTGCTTGGTACCTCCCTTCACTCCAGCAATGTCCTCCCCCTCTTAGTTCATGTACATGAGTAGTGTGTATAAGTTAACTCTTTGGCTTTTCCCTTTCCTATAATATTCTTAACATCCCTGTCTGTATTGTTCCTCCCAATTATGCTTCTTGGTCCCTGCTTCTTGGTCATTTCTCCCATTCTCCTGCTTCCTCCTCCCAGCTGATAACCCTCCAAATGATCCCCCATACCTATGATTCTGTTCCTGCTCTGGTTGTTTGCTTAGTTTGTTTTTATTTTTTAGACTCAGTTGTTGGTAGTTGTGAGTTTGTTGTCTTTTTATGTTCATTATTTTGATCTTCTTTTTCTTAAACAAGTCCCTTTAATATTTCAGTAATGATGGCTTGGTGATGATGAATTCCTTTAGCCTTACCACATCTGGGAAGCACTTTATCTGCCCTTCCATTCTAAATGATGGCTTTGCTAGATACAGTAATCTTGGATGTAGGTCCCTGCTTTTCATGACTTTGAATACTTCTTGCCAGCCCCGTCTTGCCTGCTAAGTTTCTTTCGAGAAATCAGCTGACAGTCTTATGGGAATTCCTTTGTAGGTAACTCTCCACTTTTCTCTTGCTGTTTTTTTTTTTAAGATTTTATTTATTTATCTTTAGAGGGGAAGGGAAGGAGAGAGGGAGAGAAACATCAATGTATGGTTGCCTTTCATGCATCCCCTGCTGGGAATTGGCCTGCAGGGAACTGGTCTGCAACCCAGGCATGTGCCCTGACTGGGAATCGAACCGCGATTGTCTGGTTCGCAGGCCCGTGCTCAATCCACTGAGCTACACCAGCCAGGGCTATCTCTTGCTGTTTTTAATATACTCTCTTTATCTTTAACCTTTGGCATTTTAATTATGATGTGTCTTAGTGTGGTTCTCTTTGGGTCCAACTTGATTGAGACTGTGTTTCCTGGACTTGTATATCTACTTCCTTTGCCAAATTAGGGAAGTTTTCTTGCATTATTTTTTCAAGTAGATTTCCAATTTCTTGCTCTTTCTCTTCTCCTTCTGGCACCCCTATGGTGTGAATACTGGACCTCTTAAAGTTGTCCCAGAGGCTGCTTATATTATCCTTATTTTTGGATTCTTCTTTCTTTTTGTTGTTCTGCATGGTTGTTTTTTGCTTCTTTATGTTTTTATGTTTGCTTCTTTATGTTTTTTGCTTCTTTTGTTTCAAAACATTGACTTGATTCTGTTTCATCCAGTCTACTGTTGTTTCCCTGTAACTAGTTCTTTATTTGATTTAGTGAATCCTTTGTTCCTGACTCGACCTTTTTTATGGTGCTGAGGTCCTCATTAAGTTCCTTAAGCATCCTTATAAACAGTGTTTTGAACTCTGCATCTGCTAGATTGCTTACCTCCATTTCGTTTAGCTCCTTTTCTAGAGTTTTGATCTGTTCTTTCATTTGGGCCATGTCTCCTCATTTTGGCAGCCTCCTCACATTTGTTTCTATGTATTAGGTAGAGCTTCTTTGACTGTGTCTTGGTAGCGCGGCCTAATGGAGTAGGTGTTGTGTAGGGTCCAGTGGCACAGCCCCTTATCACCCAAGCTGGGTACTCAAGGTGCATACTTTGTGTGGGCTGAGTACACCCTCCTCTTGTAGTTGAGACTTGTTGTTGGCACTTGTTGTTGGCAGATCAATGGGAGGGATTTGCCCAGGCCAGTAAGTTGCAAGGATTGGCTGTGACCACTTACCACCAACCTCCGCCCTCTGTGGAAGATCAGCTATGAAGGGGCAGGGTGGTGGTGCTCTGACATAGTCTATAGCTATCCACTAGTTGCACTGGCCCTGAGGTTTCCTAGGTGGTACAGACCAAGGTCAGCTCCCACCTGTGTTTTCCCTGGGGCCACCCTGCCTGAGTTATACAGCAATCTGAGATGGCTGCTACTTGTGCTGGGCTTAGAGATTCGCAGGTGAAGCCTAGCTGTGAATCTAGGCTGGCCTCTGCTGGTGCTGGGCCTGGGGCTCACTGAGGCCAGCTGTTGCTTGTTTGGTAGGATTTAGGAAGTTGTGAAGCATGAATCAAGACCTGCCATTCATATGGAAAAGCAGCATAGGTAGCCAGTGAGTTGGGTGGTATAGGGTGTCTGGCTTCAAAGCAGGTCAAACAGTGTTAACCTGGTTGATGGAGTCTCAAATATAGCATGAGCCTACTGGCTCCATATCTCTGTGTGATGAGATCTCAGAAAAGGGACAAAGTCCTCTGCTAAGCCCAATGCCAGACACTTAAGTCTCTCCCAGCATGTGTCTAGTGCCCTTCAAGCTGCCATTGGGGCTGCTGGAGCTCAGAGGGAGTGAGTCTAAGTAGGTGAGTCTGGGTGTGGGTTCTTTAAGAAGAACTGTTTAGGGATCCAGCAGTTTCTTCCACCAACTCAATCCCTGCTGGTTTTTGCAGCCAGAAGTTGTGGAGATTTATCTTCCTGCCACTGGAACCCTGGTCAGGAGAGCCTGGTGTGGGGCTGGGCCTGCTCACTCCTTATATATCCCTCCTGAATTTTTATCCACCACATGTGGGTGAGAGACCAGCCTGTTCTGTATCTGCACCCCTCCTCCCAGTCTCGATGGATGTGGTTTCTTTAATTCCGTACCTGTCAGACTTCCATTCAACTTGATTTCTGATGGTTCTGAGTGATGGCTGTTCTATATTTTAGTTGTAATTTTGATATTGGTGCGCAAAGAGGCAAGCCATGTCTACCTATACCGCCATATTGACCAGAAGCTCAGATTTCTGCATTTCTAATCTTTTAATCCTGCCATAAATATCTTTGTCGTATGTCATTTCACATATTAGAATATATCTTTAAGATAAACTCCTAGGAGTGGGATTCAAGGTGAGAGAGCATGTGTGAGGTGTTCACAGCACTCTGTATTTTACAAAGCACTTTTAAATACTGTGAAATGTAATACAGAAGACTCCATCATGAGACATACAAATACTTAACAAATGACTATAAAGCAAACACCATGCCCTGGCTGGTGTGGCTCGGTGGATTGGTCACGGGCCTGTGAACCAAAGAATGGCAGTTCGATTCCCAGTCAGGGCACATGCCTGGGTTGCAGGCCAGTTCCTGGCAGGGGAGGCATGAGAGGCAACCATACATTGATCTTTCTCTCCCTCTCTCCTTACCTTCCCCTCTGAAGATAAATAAATAAAGTCTTTAAAAAAAAAAAAGCAAGCACCAGTGAAATCTTACCAACACCTTTCAAGCCTCTCATATGCAGAGGGACTTACCTAACCCATATTGTTCTCCCAGAAGTAACTACTACCTTTATTTTGTGACATTCATTTAATTATCATACAAAAACATGCATCTTGAAGAACTGTAAACCAAAGGGAAGAAATTCAGGATGAGATCTAACTACATGTGCAATCTAACTGAACATCATTTTCAGGTTGGCTTGTCTTAAGACAGTTTCTTGCTCTTATCTTTTCTCATGACTGCTGCTTATAAGGACCAACATAAAAATAACATTGGAAATAGAATGAGGAGAGAGAGAAGTGGAGGTGAAATATAATTATTAAACATAACTGTACTTACCACAGGGCTAGTCGTTGCTCAATTTCCTTGAGAAAATTTGTATGAAATTTGTGCAAAGGTTCAAAATTTGGGAATATGATACTTTTCAATGTTTCAGGCATGGAGTCCTCTTTGCTCACTGTACTCTGAAACCACTGGGAATAAAAAGAGCACACTGTTAGTTAGAAGCGTAAAGGTAAATGGTGAGTGTTTGCAGTTCTTCAAAAGCATGCTGCAGCCAATTATTCCTGAGGACAACGGGCTTTACTACCGGGTTTGTAGTATTTCTGGAGCATCAGAGGCTTTCAGGCCTCTCTGCTTGTGGCTTCTTTCATCAGATAGGGTGAGAAGCACCAATCTCTTTCTTACTGCTTCCTGAGATTGGTTACCAAAAATTGCTGAAGTCAGAACAAATCTCTGAAATGAACAGGTCCTTAAATCAAATCCTCCATTCTGGCCAAGTCACTGAGTGATCACTAGTTTATAGCACTGAACACTCCCTGGCTAAGTACTTTAGGAACTTTTATTTCTGCTCCTCTGTTAAAATGCTGAGCACTAAGGTGGCTGAAACAGAGATAAAGCTGCTACCTTTTCACAGTGCCAGTCATGCTGCTGAGGTAAGGCAGGGCTGGGTACCAGGATGTTTATTGAACATTTGCCCAAGGCCAGTCACCATACATGACATCCAGGAGGCACACAAACCTAGTGATTTCGCTGACCTCCAAAGGGCCAGTTCTTTCCCAGAAATTGGGGGTCATAAAGACTTTCACAATGCTTTAAGTTTGTTTCTAAGGCTAAGCAGAGCTCATTTAAAATAATAAAAGATAGTCGTCTGGCAGATTTTGCTAACATAGCTCAATTTATTATGAAAGATAAAAGGAGGCTTCTATTCCCTCTGAGCTCTCCTTTAGGCAAAAATAAGTACCACATTTTTTGGACTGTAAGACACGCCAGACCATAAGACACACCTAGGTTTTAGAGGAGAAAAATAGGAAAAAAATTTTGAAGCAAAAAATGTGGTAAAATATTTAATAACATAAATAACATAGGCCCCCCTGCCCCACAGCAAGCCAGGAATGCTACATTTGGACTAAAAGACATACTCCCTTTCCTTCCAAATTGGTGGGGGGTGGGGGGAGTGCATCTTATAGTCCAAAAATATGGCAACTCTATTTGACAATGGGAAACAAAATGTTCAGCATTGGTGCACTCAGATAGTAAAGTGTTCCATTTTAAATTTTTTGTAAGTTATGTTTTTCCTTTTTTTAAGACTTTATTTTTAGAGGAAGGGGAAGGAAGGGAGAAAGGGAGGGAGAGAAACATTGATGTGTGGTTGTTTCTTTCAGGTCCCCAACTGGGGACCTGGCCAGCAACCCAGGCATGTGCCCTGACTGGGAATCAAACCAGCAATCCTTTGGTTCACAGGCCAGTGCTCACTCCACTGAGCCACACCAGCCAGGGCTGTTTAGTTTTAATTTTATCCACTTTTAAAACATCCTGCCTCTACATTTAAAAAAATCACAATTTAAAAATTTTTTATAGAGCACATTCCAAATTACATATACTATTACTACCTTAATTTCTATAAACCAGGACCAAACTCCTGTTAATTGAATTCAGAGAATCCAACTTTTAATTAGATCCAGCTTCTCTCCTAAAGCTGAGTATTAGTTGAGATAAATTATGTAATTTAATGCTTTAGTGGAAATGTTACACATACTGAAGTGATGACTTCAAGATCCTTCAGATATGTCCTCTCAGTGGTGGATACTTCCTTAGCGATGAAGTACGCTTTGTCAGTTGGGAATCTCTGCAAAGTCCATAAAAAGAAATGAGACATAATTTTTCAGTATGAGTCTCTGAGAGTATCTTGATTACAAGAAAATGGTACATCTTTTGTTAGCTGAAATCAAGTCTAATTGAACTCTTATTTATTCTTTTTTGTATGAGGTACTATGTACGAGAAGAGAATAAATTTCCACGATGAGAAAACAGTCTAGGAGAATTTCCTTCCAAGCAAATATTATCCTCAGTGAAAGGTCTCAAATGAGTATGTTAGCCACCACTGAGGACTATTCATTCAAAATTGGGCATCTGAAAATCTAATTCATTAGTAAAACATCAGAGTGATGCAGTCTTCAAGGAAATAAGTGAAACAGAAACCATTAGCAGCCTTTGTCCCAGGTGCCGGGCTGGTGGTGTTAGTGTTCAGGAAACAGAAGTCACATTGTTTGTGGGACTACGAAGGGTGACTTATAGAAACAGATGAGGGTGGTGGTGATACCAGTGTGACTCAATTCTTTGGCGCCCATTGTTTAGGTAAGCAGGCAGAACCACTTTAGATCAGGCCAGTTATTTTTATTTGTTTTTATTGATTTGAGAGAGAGAGAGAAAGGAAAGGAGAAAGAAGGGGAGAGAGCGGGGGAGAAATAATTGATTTGTTGTTCCATCTATTGATGCATTCATTAGTTGATTCTTCAATGCATCCTGTTCAGAGATCGAACCTGCAACCTTAGCATAGCGAGATGACACTCTAACCAACTGAACTACCCAGTCAGGGCCTGTTTTCTCTTTAAACAATAAGTAAAAGGAACTTGGTGCTAGCTATCTTGCTTCCCAGAAGAGTCCACCCAATTCCACTTCTGGGGATATACAAGGAAGCACTGAAAGCAGAGACTTGAATAGATACTTATACACCCATGTTCCTAGCAGCACTATCTGCAATATCCAAAAGGAGGAAACAACCCATGAATGGACAAACAAAATGTGGTATATCCATACAATAGAGTATAATTCAACCTTAGAAACAAAGAAAATTGTGACACATACTACAACATGGATGAATCTTGAGCATATTCTGCTGAGTGAAATAGACCAATTGGAAAGGGATAAGTAGTTTAGGATTCACTTACGTGAGTTATCTAGAGTAGTCAAATTCACAGAGACAGAAAGTAGAATGGTGGTTTCCAGGGGCTGGGTTGGGGGAAAGGGAATGGAATTATTGTTTAACGGGTATGGAGTTACAAAGCTCTGGAAATAAATAGTGATGATGGTTATATGATGTAAATGTACTTAATGCCACTGAACTGTACCTTTAGAAGTGGCTAAATGGCAGATTTTATGTTATGTTTATTACTACAATTAAAACAAAGAATAACATGCTGTTGTGCATGAGTCCCCGTACCTTTCTGCGGCCCTCCTCCTCGTCATCAGTCCGTGGGCATGGCTGGTCATTCAGGAGTGGGCTGACCAATGGGGAGGCCTGCTTGGTGTCTGGGCTCAGGTTGGGAGACAAGATCAAGTTGGCAGGCACAGCTCCTCCCTGAGAGTTGACAGACAGCTCTGAAAGGTGAGGGCTACCAGTCAGGGAGCCTGTTTGGGGATGAGAAGTTAAAAAAAAAGGTAATTCTTCTAGGACCTGATTTCTGCTTACAATTTTCACCTTTTTAAATGTTTAGAATCTTGACAACTCTGTGGCAAATGATACGCTTCATTATTTTCTAGTTTTTTCTCCTAAGTTGCAACTGCCTTAATAATAAAGATACTATAGTATGAGTAATTCAATGGAGTCTCAGTTATGTGATTAATGATAAGGCAGAGCACTCTGCTTAGAGAATAATTACAAGTTAAAAGAATAGTGTATTTCCAAATAGAATCTTCATCTAACTACTGCCTTCCTTAGTTTCTAAGAATTCCTTAAGAAAGACACACTGTCTATATTACTGCGAGACATGGGAAATGACCAGAAAATAGAGCTACACTAATAGGGAACTAAATGACTGCTACACTGAGGACAGACTACATCGTGTAACAACATGCCGCAGCTAAAGAAAGCTAAAGCAGCTAACTCCCCATTGGACAAAAAGCAGAAGCAAACTTGTTATACCTGGTGATGTCACTCCATGTCTCTCTCACTGTTTGGGACAGAAATACTAGCATCACATTTACATGCAAAGATGATCATTTAAAAATACAAAGCTGGAGGTCATTACATCACCCCAAGTTCCCTTTATGAGTCAAAAAGTGACAGGTAATTAATTATTCCTCTGAAAAGGATACCATATTAAATAACATAGAAATGTATAATTGCCCATTATGAGTCAGCCTAAAGGAGACGATGTGTGCATGAAACTCTTTACCTACAGAATTTTGCAAATATCAATACATCAAACTATGGAAGCTAAACAGGATATTTCAAATATACCCTTAACCTAAGTGTTTTTACCTAATATAGATTTACTAGAACTAGTATCAGGGTAAACAAAGTTAAAGCAGCCTTTAGTCCTGTCTGTTACCATTATAAGGAAAGACAATGTAAATATTTTCTCCATTTTCCAATATACAGTTTCAGCTCATTGCTATTCCACACACTATCAAGGATCTTGGAGGAAAAGACGAAGTGCCATTCTCTTGACATCTATCCTCTCCCTCTAGATTGTCATGTCTGTTTTGAAATTATAAGATAGGGCAGCCTAGAATAACATAGGGCAGTAAACTTGATCCCAGTATGAATGAAGAAACCACCACCAGCCCCCACTCAGTCCCAGGTGGATTAGCTAGTTGTGTCATGAACACATGGGTGAAAAAGCTATCACACCCAGAAAAAACAATGGAAAGCATGCATCCTGCCCACTGATTATTGGTTAGTACAATGATCTTTGAAGAACAAAGTTAAAAGATGTGAGGAAAAGGCAGAATCACGAAGTCCATATTTAAAAATCCCTCCATTTAAATCCTGACATTTAAATATACAATTACTGAAATGAAGTTCTGTTGTTAGACAAAGACCCAGTTGCCCCACACACCACCAGCCCCAGTGAAATCCAGAGAAAAAAAGCCAGAAATTGCTTCACAAATGTCAATTTTATTGACACTAGTGCACAACTGAATACAATAAATTCAGAAGAACTGAAACTCAAGAAATAGAAATAGTGACAACAATTAGAACTGCAATTGTTTCAAGGTACTACACTATTCTTTTTTAAAAAAATCACAAAAATGTTACTACTACAAATAAGAATTAGAAAAAACAAATTCTGGCAGTCTGGAGATCAAAACATTTCATGCCTTTGTGACTTGCTGTTTGAGAGTCCCTTTTTATTTGTCCATCATTATCTGATAAAATTTGGGAGCTTACCTTCAGCTCTCACACTGTGCATGAGATCAGGTGAGGCAGTTATAAGTGAGAATGTGTTGGGCCTTGATTTTGTAGGGACATGGAATAGAAAAAGCATTCGCTTCGTCATTTAAAGAGTTGAAGCCAAGAATAAAAAAGCAGTTAAAAGGCTAGCTTGAAAGAGGAATGGGGGTTGGGGTGGGTAAACAGGACCAATTAGCCCTGGACAACATCCACCATCGGTAAAAGAACCAACTGCCACATAGTGAGGGAGAAAACAAGGGTCAACACACTCAAGTACACCCACTTCTCCCCACCTAAGGTCAAAAGCTGTTGCCCTTGTGCATTCCCCCAGGGACACTTCTATTTAGTAGACTGAGCAGGCAAAAAGAATGAGCAAACAGACTAGGTTTACACTCTGACAAGAAGATAGGACCCATTTCAAAGACAGCCACCTAGAAGAATCCCTACTGGACCATATCAGAGACAGGATTCAGAAAATGGCACAGTAATGTGAAAGTAAACTTCACAACAACCTGTGTTCCTAGGTAGAGTAGGAGACTGCCCCAGGTCAGGCACAGGTTGTTGGGTAAAAGCCTCATTCACTCATGTAGCCTAAAGATATATATGTAACCACTGACTTTCCATGTGTGATACATAGTGTTGGAGGATGATCAAATCAGGGTGGCCCATTTCTATTTCCAGAGTGGCTACTTCAACTGGTTTGTTGGGACCTAAGAAAGACCAGGCAATGGGTGTATTTACACTGCTAGAACAATAAATAATAAATACGAAGCATCCTGTTCTAGAAATCTATCAGTAATTCTAAGAAAGGGAAAGGTCCAAAACTCTGAAGTTCACATTTGCTCATTTGAGCTGCATCCATGGAGAAATGCCCTCTTCTACCCTTGCAAAATAAACTACTCAAGACTTTGAAAATGTATAGGTGACAGGGCCCAAACAAAAACATTTAGCTTATTTACCATTCAGTAGTCAATGAAATAGTCTGACTAGGGTACTTAGTAGAATTTAACAGCTTAATGAGTAATTAAAATTCTCTTCTGACTTTCAGTCAGTGTGTGATAATGGTCTATACAAACTGGTGCTCATGTTGGGCCCGCCTTTGGGTAAGAGTGAAGAGCTGAGTCTTAAAAGAAAGTCAGCAACTAAGGTGACAATTACTAGAACTACATGTAACCAATTATCACTGAAATAGTCCATCTTACAAAAAGAGCTAGACAAAATGAGGCTGCTTTACTCAGCCTGTTGAAATCTTTTCAGCCTGGGACCTGGTTTGAAGGCACATCATTGCCACTCAATGAACTTACTAATGCCTGGGTATTGTCTTTTTTCCCCCCCTGTGACAACTTGAAAGAAAAAAATTTCTTTTAGCAAGGGAGTCTGGGTAAATAATTTGGGGGTCCTTTTGAGAAAGCACCTGGGTATTAAGGCAATAGATGAAAGAAGTTTGAAGAGATTAGAAAAAGGTCAGTTACACCCTGAAAGTCTGGAAGCTTTCATTCTTTTTAAAAATTATTTTTTCTATTTCCAGAAATTACCTGGTATTTTTTTAGGCATTCACTTATATTTTCAGTTAATAACTATTAAATCCTCCACCTCTTCCAGATGATTCCTCCCCTGCTCCACGTCCTCCTCCCTGTCATTCATCTGTATCGAGAGGACTGAGTTTAAGGCAACCCCTGCCTCCATCATGGATGGGAAATATCTTCACTAATATTGCTCTCAAGGGAGGCATTTCTGCTAATCACTTTTTAAAATCTTTGATCAGCTTTTCATCAGTGGCACATACACAGTGGGAACATAATCTATGACCAATAAGCCAAATACCTCCTGCCTGTATTCCTTTCTAGGATACAGCACAAGCTGCCCAGGAACTATACAATGCCTCTGACTATATTAAAGGCTGAAAAGCAAATTCATACAAGTGTGGGAAAAGAGATTTTCTTGTACCTATTCATTATTTTAAATTGGGCAATAATTTGATAATCTTCATTTTTTAAAACTGAAATGTGTTAGTTTTCCTGTTAAGAAAACTAGAAACATGACAATAATTTAAAAATAGTAATCCACAGATTTGTTAAACATTATTTAAATATGTAAGAATGAGAATACTTAAGAAAATGAGAATATTGATCATTTTCTTAAGTCTTCTTTTAAAAATTTTAAAAAGTACTATTCTTTAAAAAAAAAAAATCAATGCTGCCCTGACTGGTGTGGCTCAGTGAGCTGGGCACCCTCCCACTAACTGAAAGGTCGCTGGTTTGATTCTGGTGGGGGTGCACGCATGGGCTGTAGGTCAGGTCTCTAGTTGGGGGGCGTGCGGGAGGCACGTGATTAATGTTTCTTTCCTTCTCTTCTTCTCTTCCCCCCTCTCTAAAAATACATAAAATCTTTTTTAAAAAGAAAGATTAAAAAAAGTATACTATTCTTCAATATTCCCTCAAATAAATAACTTCATTTGGCATGCTTCTCGATTGCACCCATCTATCATGATTTGTTTCCTGTTACTTGGTCCTAGAATATAGGAGATTCTTTATCCCTATATACCCAGAACATGTTCCAAAGGCACATACAGGAAATCCATTACAGGGGTAGGTTTTCGTCTTTTTTTTTAAGTATCTTTTTAAATTCATAGCCTCCCTCTAGAAGAAAATACAATGAACTCTCTGTGAAGACTGTCTGCATTTGAAAGCCACTTATCAAAAAAAAAAAAAAGTCAGTATTGTGTTGCATAATGAATGGGTCATCTCTAGAACTGGCAGTTTCACTCTGATAACTTAGCTGGATCCCACCCCAATGGAATATGCAAAAAAAAAAGCTGACAGTTTTATTGAAATTACAAGATTCCACAAGAAAAACTAGATTATAGGATTACCAATCAAAGTGGTGGTGTCCTCTTCCTGATAACTTAGGCTGTTGAAGGTAATGTATATATGCTTCTTAGACCAATTCCTTTAAGAAAAGTTTTACAAGCAGCTAAATATCAACTTTACCATTCATCATCAAGCAATTCGGAAGTGCAATAGTGATGCTACTTGCAGAGAAATAAAGAGAAAAAATGCCACCAATGGAAAATGATAGTGAATGCACTAGCTTGTTCTGACTTATGGGGAAAGATAAAGGATAATTTCCTTTGTTTGAACATGGTGATGGCAGTGTTTGGGTTGGGGCACACAGTGCTTCATACAAATAAAAAATACCAACTTGCACTCAGGCCAATGCTTCAGCCATCAGT